TGTAGTTGTCATTTGCTAAATAATAAAAAAGTCGATATATTTGATAAGTTTCAAGTGCACTAAATGACACTTTCTATTTTTGTTTATCTTCAAACTTCACTTTACGTAATTTCTAATATTGATGCTGCTGCATCTTCCGTACTTAAAGTAAATAAATAATTGAATTATGCGCAATTTTGTCAAATTATACAATTATATCTTATGTTTTTACTATAAAATTCTATTTTTTTTAAGTTTTTTAGTAACAAAAATGGTACTTTTCTCGAACACATTACCGAATGCATGAATGATAAGATGATTAACGATGAAGCTTGATGTTAACGCACTTTGAAAAGTTGACTTGACTTATTAATCGATTTTTAATGTAATTATCGATTATCTACAAACGGAAAACAAATATTTAAATACATTTTATGAAAATGTAAAAGAAAATATTTAAATAAAACAAGAAAATTACAATCGATACATCAGCTTCTACTTCGGAAATTATTTGCATTTATTTCATCTCTTTATAAATTATTTTCTGTTTAAATTTATCTTATTTTACTAAATATATATTCTATAACAATTTAATAGATTGCATATAGAAATTTTAGTGAATTGAGTGCAAGTAATTTAGGGATAAGAGAAGGATGCTTTAAGAGGGATGAGGAAAGGATGCTCTCACTTTAAGAAGTGATGTTGCGCGCGCTTTTTTACACTTAAAAACTCGAAAATATAAATTATAATATGTAAAATACGTGGTGTTTCTGTGTGTAACATAATATTTATCATAAAAATAATCATAAATTCTAGATAAGGCTCAGAAGAATGGAAGAGTTGTGATCTCGGCTCTTCGCTTTAAGTATTATAGAAAATCACTTATTTAATTGGATATAACACATTTATACATCTGTATAACTCGGAAAGCATATCAATTCCTCAAAAAAAACAGATTTTTTTGTATAATTTCCTTACTTTTATCGTACAGAAGGTATAAGGTGTAAGTATATAAGCTGCACTTTCAACGTTAAACGCATAAAAATCTAATTATTTCATTAAATTTTCAATAAAAATTTCAAATTTATAAAAATATATTTAATTTAATTTAATTACAGACAAAAATTAATTACAAGACAAGAATATCTTTAATCCAACTCTTCTTTACGGGGCTTAGAAGTACTTACAAAGTTTTATTTATTGACAAAGTATTGTTTACTCAGTTAAAGGAAGGGGAAAAAAGAGGAAGGATCTAAGATTAATTTCTGTTAAAAAAAGAAAAAGAAAAATGGGAGTGAAAATCGTTGTACAGGTTATTTTTAAAGTAATTATAATAATTGCTAAACTGGGATTTAATAAAGATTAAAGAGGAGAGGATGGGCGATGTCCTTAAAATGAAATCTTCGAAATTAAACAGGATTAAGGTTGTTAATTATTAATTCTTAAAACTAGACTTATTGGATTAGAAAGTTCGAATAAAATAATTAAGTGAGATCAAAGTAAAGTCTAAGGATTTAAAAAAATTCACTTGATTTAGCGCATTGTTTAAAGAATATAAATCGACTTTGCACTGATAAATATATAATTATTGTTTGTTTAAATGTTTAAATCGAAATTTTTATATGTAAAGTAATTTTTTAAATAAAAATATTTCATTTTTTTCACTTTTTTTCACTTAAAAAATGAGTTTTTTGTCAAGGAACTTCTCAGTTTTTCATCGCTTAATCTTGATTTTTGTAATGATAATTAAGGTTAATCCATTAAAATTGATTTAATTAGGTAAAAAAATTTTTCATTTAATCAATATTCTGGTAACAATTAAAATATTTTTTTTAAAAATTGGATAATTTTCATATAGAAAATATTCTAGTTTTCATTTATTAATCCTGGTTTTCTTTATGAAAATTAAGGTTAATTGATAAAAAAGTTATAATTTAATTGAGTTAAATCTTTATTAATCGGGTATTTAACTAACAATTTACGAATATATTTGTCAGAAATCGTCAAATAAACAAAGTTATAAGTTAAACAATTGCCCATTTCTCTAAAGAATGCATATTAAGCAATTCTTAAGTGATAATATGTTGAAATATATTGTTAATTGTTTAACGAAACTGAACGATTTAACAATGTATTTAAGCTAAATCTCGAAATCTGTTTTGTAGATTGCACCGTTAAGAGACATTGAGAGCCATTTAACAATGATTATATGAAGAGATAATTGAGTTATCTGCTAAATAAAGGAAGTTATTCGACTTTTAAGATGATCCACTTCAATGAAATGACCTAATTTTCAAGGAACTTAATGCTGTTCAACATGCTAAGAAATGGATAATAAAGTCTCTAGAATCGGGGACAAGCTGTCAATTCTTAGACTCAACCTCAAAAATACACGTAAGAAACCGTTAAGAATGTTAAATAAAACGAATTATTTGACGATTTAACTTAATGAATTTAATTAAAATCCGTTTAGAACCTTGTTACAATTTAAGTAATTCTCCTTCTCTGGAGTAGAAAGAGTAGAAAGTCATTTAAATATCCTCTTTTTCTGGAGCAGAGGGAGGAATGAGGTATGATAACAGATGTCTAATGCTGAAAACACTGAGTTTAATTGATAAAAATTATGATTAATCGGTTATTTTAATAATAATTTATGAATGTTGAGTGAACAGAAACATATTTATCAAGTTTAATGCGTTATTATAACTCTATTCGATAAGTTTGCCTTGGAATTTAACGTTATGGTAAGCACCATACTGATGATTTTTATGAGGAAGGAGGAAGAGGAGGGCCTTGCTAGGTAATTTTTATGATAAAAAGTTCCCATAGAAGAGGTATTTGCTGGCCTGAATTGTACTCCAGAACTTAGATTTCGTTCCATAAAGATATCTCGAATATAGAGTATATTAGACCAAAACAAAGAATCTGTAGGAGCTTAGTCCTCTATATAGTGTGACATATTCACTGTTACGAGATGAATCTTTTCAAAATATGATATAAATCTTTGAAGTAAATTAAATAGCTTTAAATGCTGATTAGAATGATATCTGAATAATATTTTTATATTTCATGGTTCAATTATAACAAGGCATTAAACGTTATAATTAGGTTAAGGCCTATTGCATACACTAAAATCCGAATTAATTCGAATTTAAGTAGCCCATTTCGCATATTTTTACAAATTTCAAGTCAGCCTGGGCCTTACTTTAATGATTTAATTCTTAATTAGAATTAATTAAGCCCAATTTTTCCCTAATTATTCGAAGAAAAATTTGCGATGCATCTTAAATTCTAAGTAATGAAACACCCTAAATATTTATGTATATTAAATATTACACTTATTGAACAAGTGTGTTTTTAAACTTACATATATGTTTACTATACATTTCTACTACTCTGATCGATTGTGTAATTGAGATCGTCAATCTGTCGATCCGTTGGGAATCGAAGGTACTTCGAATTGTTCGATTTTTCTTATTTAAATATACGGTGAAATTATACTTTTATATTCATATAATTTGTGTACTTCTGTCTTCGGACTTATCTCTGACAATATTGAATTCATTTAAATATAAAAATTTTTGCTTTGTGATTAAGTAAATAATAAATTGCTTGGATAATTTGTTTACTCTTCCGTTTTACATAAGGATAAATGAAGTCTTTGTATGCAGACATTTAAGACAAATCGCAGGGAAAATTACAAAAAAAAACTTTGTTAAAATATTCTGTTTGATGTAAAAATTTCTTTAGTTAATTCTGTACAAAAAAATTTCATTTATTATTTTTCCTTACAATTACTTACTATATTATCTTACAGTTTTCTCTACAGTTATTTAAATTTCTTTTATGGTTTTCCCTAAAATTATTTGCAAGTTTTTCTGCAATTTTATTTACAAATACTTAGAATTTTTCCCTACAAACTTCTCTAAAATTGTAGAGAAAGTGTAATTTTACATATAATTACATTTATACAGTATTTTAAGTTAATAATTGCAAATAAATTTGCAGTTTTTCCTGCAAGTTTATTTACAATTACTTAAAAAATTTTTCCGCCGTAATATCCCTAAAATTATTTACACATTTTCAGTAAATTTTTTTACGATTAATTATAATTTCTCTGCAGTTTTCTCTAAAATTATTTTCTACGTTTACTGTAATTTCTTTTACAAATTTTATATTTTCCCCTACAATTTCCCCTAGAATCACTTACAATTTTCCCTTACAATTACTTAAAATTTTATATAATTTAGCCATTCAAACAAGTCTTTCCTCAATTCAAACCAAAAACTATACAAAAAAAAATCTAAAATATTTTAGTAAAATAAAAATTCTAAATTCTGATTAAAATAATGAGCTTAGAACTATTCTAACAAACGAAAAAATCGATTTTTTTTCCCTCGAATTATACAATTAAATAATTAAAAAACCAGCAAGCTGTAATAAAGAACTTTAATTTCAAAAGTAGAGAAATAAAATCAAAGCTCCTCCTATGATTTCGCCATTTTTTTTTAAATTCATTATATGGTTACATTAATANTTAAATTCATTACATGGTTACATTAATAAGAATTTCGACATATTTCTATCATTTATTTCGAAAGTGAAATTTTCAATCGAGTTATGGATTTATAAATCTCTCGAGGGAAAATATCCCTCTTTTTTTATAAATATAAAGAAAAAAAATCCCTGTCAGATTGGAGTAGCTCTCGAATAAATTGGATTCATTTCCTCTAAGGAAAAGCCAATAACAATCGAATCGAAGAATGAAGAATCAGAAGTAACCTTCACTTTTCTCACTTTACTTCTTACCAATAATAGAACTGGTAAGGAGAAGCGCGCAGACACACACACACACACGCACGCTCGCCTCTTGTAAATCATTCCACGACAAAAGGATATTTTATGAATTAATAAGGAGATATACGCGTACTGTACACATCTTCCCCCCGCTCCTTAGAGAGCGTATCATTGAATAATATAAGAGCTATAGATTTATTATCTGACAGTCATCAAAGATTTACCTGTGTACTCGACTTGTGGCACGATCCCTAATGTGACGTCTAAAAAGGGATGAGAGACGAATGCTGTCACCTCCGGCTCTTCTTTGGACGATAGTTTGATTTTTCTTCCACACAATACCATTTCCTGGTGAGTGCGGGGTGCTCCTCTACACGTGACGAACGTAATGGTCAAACAGACGGTGATGACATAACCTGAAAGAAGGTTTGTCGATCGGGGTTACGTAGGCTGTAAACCAAAACTCCTTTCTACTACTCTTTCTCAACCATTATAATGTTACCTGCCATTTCACAAAGCTATTTTTTATGATTGTCTTCCTTTGCTACACTTTCTTCCTTCTAGTATTTTAAGTTAACCCATAAATTAAAAGCTACTTTACCATTTTTCTGTATGCCTTACTGCTCATTACCACATAACTTAAAGGCACTACAATTTCTCCATACGCATTACAGATTCAATGATGTTAATACATACACTCTTGCTAATTTGGCCATTTCTTGCACGGAGGAGTGCTATACAGAGTGCCGAATTACTAAGAGTTCACAGTGCAGGCTTAAGCCTGACTAAAGGCAACGAATGACGTGAAACGTCTCTCTTCTTTGCAGTCGTACAGAGATGTTATTATAAATTTAATTCTTTAATTTAATTTAATGCATGTATTTATAAAACACACGAATAAGATAATGTCGGATAATCGAGAGACAGGACGTTAGCAAGAATTGATTATATTTAACTTTTATGCTCCAAAATGCATTTAAATCTATTAGTAAACTTACTCAAACTCGTTAATTTCTCCGCATTTCTGTGTCCAAAATGAATTATTTTGACTCGCAAGAATTAAATTTAGGAATTATCGCGTATTTTATTGCTATGGTGGCATTAATTTTGCATAAATTATTCAGGAAATTTACATCACGTAGATCAAAATAAACGATAGCCACGCATTAACATCAAAGAAGATGCTGTGTATTTTTTTTCTGCATCCAAAACTCTTCATCATCTTAACGAGGGAGGAACTTTATCTCCATTATGTGAATGTGCGACCTGTAAAATTGCCGCGGAATCATATTTTATGCTTTAAAAATGTATTTAATTCTTGAATACGCTTCATTAAAGCAGTAATGGGCAACTTGTCAGAATGCCATTAGAGTCATTGGCAGGACATTTGCTCTACTCTTAATAATCTCGCTAACTTCGGCACATAAATCAACATTTTTATTATCTACCAGAGACCTACACACGCAGAAAAATAAGCAAAATTATAATAAAATAAGGCCATAAAATAGCATAATTTTTAATTAATTATTAAATTTCCTTGATTAATTACGTATCTAAAGCATTAGATGTAACTTAAGAAAGTCGTCTGCTGATGGGAATTTTTGGTTATTTATGTGTTAGAAACTTATAAAATTAATATTAAAACAATATATTATGCTCAATTAATATATTTTTTAAGTAATTTCTGATTTTTCCGATTAATTATTCAGTTTAAACGTTAATAAAAAGCCTCAACTAGTTGTTTCCTTATGGGGGAAATCTGCTAATCTTTTGACACAGGAAGCTTCAGATTCGGCATAAAATCATAAAACGTAAGCTGTATTAATTAATAAAAATCAAATTTTGTTTATCTTTTAAATAAATTTTAATTTTTTTATGATTAATTATATATTTAAACATTAGACAAAGGTTAAACTAGTTTGCTCTTGTTATGACTTTAACACTGAAATCTTATAAAATTAGCATAAAAATAAGAGAGTAATATTGTAAAACAATTTATAAAAGTAAAAATAATTTATTTATTGTATAATAATTGTCAATTTTTCCTGATTAATTATGCGTAGTTAAAATATCAGAAGCTTGATGCCATTTTCTGGTAAGAATCTATTATTATTTCTACACTATAAAATTAATATTAAAAAATACTAAAAAATGTATCATTTAATATAATATATTATATAAATTTTTCCTTATTTAGTGCGCTCTTTATGACGCCTTTTAAATACTTAAAAGTTTAAGAGAATTGTCTTTTAAAATAATTACTTTTAAAATAAACTTATTAATTTTTCATACAAATAAATTTTAAAAATTAACTTTAAAACTATTTATTTATCATAAATAAACAAAAATTTACTTTTAAACTAAAAAGAAATTTATAAATTAAAATATGAAACTATTTACATATTACATATTAATAAACTTGTAATTATAAATTCACTTAATCAGTTATAAAAGTCATAATAAATGTATTAAAATATTTTTAAAATTATTAAAAAATTTAGAATAATTCCTTACTAAATTTTATTTAAGAAAATATACATAAAATGAATTTATATTATTATTATTATTATTAAAATATTGTTTAAAATAACAGAAAAATAATTAGATTTAACTCTAAATACGCGAAAATAACGTTCGAATAATTAAGAAATTGCTGATAAAGGAAGAAAAATCGCCTTTAGGAAGGATAAAGAAAGGAGTTTGAACAATTAACCGATTTTTCTTTATAATTAATATAAAAGTGACAGGTATATAAAACGGAGAAATCACCCACGACCAGTTTGACACACACACTTTTCCCTTATTTACCGAATTATCTATATAAATTACAATTAAAATATTAATAAATTCCTCCCTCCTACTCCTTCTCCGAGTAAGTTAAGCGAATATAAAACTAGATCTAGGTGAGATATGTGTGTTAAGGTTACACAGAACAGGAGGGTAAGAAAGAAAGAAAAAAAAAATAGGATGGTGCTACTCACCCGCATATAAGATCCTTTCCATCTACAAATATTTAAAGGTCTATCAAAGGGAATGAACGATGTCGGTTATCATTCGATAAAGGTTTTTGAAATGGAATAATGCTTGTTGCGTGTGAGCTTTAAAAGTGAACTAAACAAGCGGGGAGAACCGCAACACGTTAAACCACACGCCTGAATTTCCGAGTGGCGCTCGTCTCTGTGACGTAACACGGCTTGGCCAGACTGTACACGTAAAATGCGCTATCCTACCTGTTCTCTTACCTGGCCACATCGATTTATTATTAAGAGTTTAAACGTCACGTTTCATCCGTTTTTTTCATATTCAACTATTTTCTGCGCTACTTTATATCTCGATTTCTTAAATTATCTTCCATGTTTATCCTGTTTTTTAAGGTTTTGGGGTGGGGTACGCCATGCGATAGTGGGAAAAAAGAATAGGAGAGGGATCTAGAAATTTCGTGGAGGTTTGACACTTCATGGAAATGACGTACGAACGATTTATCCAATAATCAATATTACTTATGTTGTTCGCTTGCTTTAGTTATAAATCATACATTAGCTCCGTTTAATAGACAATACCTCCGCCCAAAATATTACATTTTAAGGAATAATTAAGCAATTTATTTACATATTTCCGTATTAATTAGCAAAGATTCTACGCTCAATTACTCGTGTAAATTATACTTTTATCTTCTGTTTTTGATGGATAATCATTCCGAATGGTAGAATATTAAATAAATTTTGAAATTATTTGTTACTGGGTGTAATAATTACATATATTAAAAGTAAATTTCCTCTTTATCTCATAGTATGTGGGAGATATAAAGGAGTGTCCACATATTTGTGACTCCATCCCACCTCTCTTAGTATAATTGTACGAGTAAGATGATATTTATAGTTTTCAATAAGTGATTTTATTAAGTGATAAGGATTTTATTCAAATATCTGAAATTCTCATCCACATCTTAAATTCGGTTTGGATATTGAAAGGAAAAATCATAAAAATAAATGGAAAAATTCAAAGATTTTTAGTTCAGGGCGGATTCGCATTTGATATCAATCAATCAATGTCAATATGCTGGATGTTGTATTTTTTTAATTGCACTTTATGACACTTTTTATATTGCATAGGATCAAATAAATATTTTCCGATAATATTTAATGGAAAATTACTACGCGTACAACTGTATAAAGCAGCGTACACTTGCACAGTCGAGGAAGATGAGCTGAAATTTTAAATAATAATGATATTATTATGAAAAATGAATCGAAATCGGATAATCAAGAAGACAGCGATTTTACCAAAACAGTTAATTAAAATTAATTACTTAAATAACTTCATAATTAATATTAATTCAGTATGCAAATTTAATTTTATTGTTAATTTAGCATTCGATTACAGTTCTGCAATTTTTGATAAGTAAATTCGCTTTAAATTAGAATAATAGTAAATGATTCCGAAGCCTGTAAATGATGCTTCACTGCTATACACAGGGTGCATGCAGGAAAGTATAATTTACAGGCTATTTCGACAGATGTAATTTAAAGGAAAAGAAAATAAACGTCACCAAGCAACATGATAAATAAATCAATATTTGCATCCAAACTATAATTTAGTTCTGTCCAATGTACGTATAGATAAATATTACTTCGAGTATTAAAAAAAGAAATAAGAGCAGAATTCACTACTTTATTGATAGAATCATATTCTTCTATGTTAACGTTCGTTAGGAAAATAAATCAGGAGTTAAGTATAATAATTTAAAAGATAAAACGTTCAATATAAATAATTTATAATTTAAAAAAAAAGTTTTTCGATAAATCTAAATTATATTTATTATTTTATGAATGTAATTTTAAGAATTTATAACAGTTTGAGTGCAGAGATGATCTGATTAACGATTTATTATTTATGGGCAAAGTCATTTAAATGAGGAATAAATTTATTAAAATTTTATTGAATATTCTTTTTAATTATAAAAGAAAATTATCATAAAAATACAATTAATTATAAGAAAAAAATTTAAGCTTAAATTGATAGAATTCTGTACATTTTTAAGGTAGAAATTCGAATATTAATAGGTTAAATTTTGCTTATATATTATATTATATAATAAATAAATTTAATTAAAATCTTTATTTAAAATTTAAAGGCAAAAGTTATTTAAACTTTTTAAAATTAAAACTTGAAGATAAAGATAAATCGTTTAAAATTATGATTTGTAAAGTATTATAAAGGTGCGATTAATTATAATTTAAAGAATTAAAGTTAAGTACAGTATTTATTGGAAAAATTTAATTACTTTTTATATAAATTATGATAATTCTAACATTTCTTTAAGAAAAATTTAAATATTTTTGTAACTGTATATTATATAGTAAGTAACAGAGAGAATTTGACATTATTTTAAAAAATGTCAAATATTGCTTCATTT